GGATAAAGCCAGCAAGTGTGAGAGGGGGAGAGCGTAGGAGATCCGGCGGGAGGGGCGGGGAGGTAAGACACTGTGGGCCACAGATAAGGTCTAATATCTGTTGACGAGGATGTGCATGGCGGTCTCAACTGGGCTGGACCGAGGTATGTATCATGCTGAGTGAAGTCTCTCCACAATCTAAATGATGTATAGTGATGTAATGTATAAATAATAATAAAAAAATATATAAATAAAAAAACCAACAAGTGCAGGAGAAGAGGTCCCAGCCAGATGCTCCAGATGGGCAATTAATAAAACGCTTCGAGATTTCGTGCCGTTCTTGGTACTTGCCAAGCTGTGTAAACTTTATGATTCCGTAGTGATTTATTTTCTCATTCTCAGTAAATATCCACTTTCCTAACCAGTGAGTTATTCATACTTACGTGGATTTTTTTTTCACTTATCTCTAATCAGAGTTAGCAGTGGATATTTCTGATAAGTTCTCACTATGGCATGAACTTCCTGCCTCAGCCTCTCACTCAACTAGGACCACAGGCATACCCAACTGTACCCGGCATGTTAAGGTTGGCCCAGGAATTGAACCTGGACCAGCCATGAGATTTCCAGCTTCCTCAGCAGTGGTACTACCTGTGTGCCATCACATCTGGGCCTGTGTATCCTTTTTAACTAAGTCTTGGTCCAACCTTCTCCCTCCCTTCCCCACCCAGAACCCAACACCAGTTCATCATAGTCTCTTTCCAATGGATTTGTCAGGGACAGAACTTGATTCCAGAAGTGTCCCCCCTTCTCCTAAACAGAGACGGGAATTCCTCAGAAAGTGCCAGCGTAGCAGGCTGGGGGCTTGGGCACTTTGGTACTCACACAGACCCCGATGCTTTGGACGTAGAACTGCATGAGACAGAAATAGAGGTGCATGGCCTTCTCCCGCTCCCACTCTTTCTCCGACAAGATCCACTTTTCAAGGAGCTATGGATAGATCCCAGAACACAGAAGCAGGCATTAAAATCCCAGGGCCAGTTTTTGCCTTCCTCGTCCTTCTCACCCAAGAGTCTGACTTTCAATGTTTCTATATGGTTCTATAAAACTTCTTGTTTTCTCCGCAGGGTCCCCATGAAGGGAGATAAGGCTGTGGACAGTGGGAAGGCAGCCCCAGTAACCTCATCAGGATGGTGCTTGGCTGTTGTATTTGGCCTGGCTCCAAATGTGGGCCTGTAATGAAAAACCAGAACAGCCCACCCTGCACTCCAGGGGCCCTGAGGGCCTTGCTAATATCAAAGTTCATTTCAGGTCAAAGAATATTACTAACGATAAAGAGGGTCATGTCATCACGGTAAAGGGGCCAATTCATCAGCGTATATAACAAACCTAAATGTTTATATACCTAACAACATAGCTAAATAATACATGAAGCCAAAACGTGTAGAACTGAAAGGAGAAGTAAATCCACAGTAGTAGAGATTTTAGTACCTCATTCTTAATAATGGATAGAACGAAAAGACATAAAATTAGGAAGGATATTAAAAATTTGGCTAGGGCCATCCCACATGGCTGTAGCTCAAGTCTCAAACCCAGAGACTTGAGAATTACACCAGGTGCATGCAGATGCATGTCCACGACCCCAAAAGGAGGGGAAATGGAGGAGAAGTGATTGTACATGACCATTCCCCATGAAGGGTGCTTTCTATCTCACTCTCTTTCTAGCTCTCTTTCTCTCTCCTCGCACAAGTACACACACCTTTTGGCAAAATTAGCCAAAGAAAGAAAAGAAAGAAAGAAAGAAAGAAAGAAAGAAAAAATTAGGAAGGATATTAAAAATTTGGCTAGGGCCATCCCACATGGCTGTAGCTCAAGTCTCAAACCCAGAGACTTGAGAATTACACCAGGTGCATGCAGATGCATGTCCACGACCCCAAAAGGAGGGGAAATGGAGGAGAAGTGATTGTACATGACCATTCCCCATGAAGGGTGCTTTCTATCTCACTCTCTTTCTAGCTCTCTTTCTCTCTCCTCGCACAAGTACACACACCTTTTGGCAAAATTAGCCAAAGAAAGAAAAGAAAGAAAGAAAGAAAGAAAGAAAGAAAGAAAGAAAGAAAGAAAGAAAGAAAGAAAGAAAGAAAAAAAGAAAGAAAGAAAGAGAAAGAAAGAAAAGAAAATTTGAACAATACTACCTTGGCCTAACTGACATTTAGAAGCACTCCATCCAACAACAGAAGAATATTTTTCAAGTGCAAATGAAATGTTTTCCAAGGTAGACTATATCTGAGCAACAAATAAGTCCCGATCAACTTAAAGAGATTTAAAAAGCATACAACGTCTGCCTCAGACAATAATGGAGTTAAATTAGAAATCTAAACCAGAAAGATCTCTGGAAAATTCTCCCAGTATTTGTACATTTCTAAATAACCTGTAAGTCGATGAAGAAACCAAAGGGAAAATTAACACTAGATTTAACACCAAAAGCGTAAACAATTTAAAAAAGAGAGAAAGAGAGAGACAAATTAGACTTCATCAGCATCAAAACCTGCTCTTCAAAAGGTGCCCAAAAAACATCTTTTTTAATGAGAAAGCAAGTCACGGACAAGGAGGAAATGTTTGCAAATCACATATCTGATGTGTAAGTCACATACCTGATATATTATTATACCCAGCACATATAAGACCCCTAAGAGACCAGTAATAAGAAAGTAAACAATCCACTTTTAAAAGCAAATCTACACTGTACCTTCAAAAGTGACAAGGTTATAAAAGAGAAAAACAGACTGAGGAACTGCTCCAGATTAAAGAAGTATAAAGAAAGAGAAAAACTAAACGTAATGCAAACTCTGGATTGGATCTTGCAGTGTGGGAAAGTAGCTCAAAAGGACATTATTCAGACAATCAGGAATTCGGATATGATAAATAGCTTGAATACATCACTATATCGTATCAATATTATATTTCATGCCCTTTGTGTGTGTGTGTGTCTTGCTATGTCACTGTCCTACTGTCTTAAGCATCCCAAGTCTCTGGTACTACAGGTGTGCTCCACTGTGCCCACCTTCTAAGGTGAGGCAGGAATCAAACCTGGGCCTTGCATGTGGCCTCAGCATGCCAAGTAACAACACAGACCAGCAACACTACCTCTGCTGAGCCTAAATTTCCTGATTTCGATCATTGTACTGTTGTTACATGAGAGAACATCTTTGTTCTTGATGTTTGCAATTAACTTCTCATGATCCAAAAGAGGTATGTGTGTGTGTGTGTGTGTGTGTGTAACAAGAAAGAAACAAAGAGGAATAAAGAGAAGGAAACTGTGGCAAAATCTAAATATTTTTATTCTGAATAAATGGTATCTCTGTAATGTTCTTGCAACTTTTCAGAAAATTTGAAATGTTATCAAAATTACTAAAACAATTTTAATTGGGACCAGCTGTTGGCATAACAGCTATGTCACTGGACTCCCATGTAGTCGATCGCGGTTCAAGTCTCAGACTTGGTGGCTTAAACTCAAGTTGGGCGCATGTGTGTGCGCACCCAAGATCCTTAAAGGAGAATGGAGGAGAAGGGATTGTGGTGTGGCCATCACCCCTGGGGGATGATTTCTTGCTTTGTCTCTCTGGGGAGAGCACACATGCCCTACAGCAAAAAAAAAAACTCTCCAAAAAAATTTTTTAATCACACCCTGTTTCCCACAGTCTGGACTTTGGCCTGCTTTCCGGGAGTGGGCAGCCATCTCTGGCACCTTGCCCTCCACCAGGCAACTCACATGCACCATCTCCTGCAGCCCCTTGGGGTCCAGCTGCCTCTGCATGAGGCTCTCCATCAGCTGCTCCAGGGCACTCAGGGCGTTCGTGTACAGGGTCTGCAACCAGGAGACAGAGTTGGGCACACACAGCCTCCCTCTCTGCAGCGCTCCATGCCAGGGTTGAGAGGTGCAAGGTATCTGATAGTCATCCATTGGCCTCTGCTCAGACCGAGTTCTTTCTCTTATTTATTTATTTATTTTTGGAGAGGTTTTCACTATAGGGCGCGTGCGCTCGCCAGACAGACAGAGACATAGAGACAGAAAGTGAGAAATCACACCCCCCCCCGGGGGACGGTCACGCCTCAATCCTTTCTCCTCCAATCTAAATATTTTTATTCTGAATAAATGGTATCTCTGTAATGTTCTTGCAACTTTTCAGAAAATTTGAAATGTTATCAAAATTACTAAAACAATTTTAATTGGGACCAGCTGTTGGCATAACAGCTATGTCACTGGACTCCCATGTAGTCGATCGCGGTTCAAGTCTCAGACTTGGTGGCTTAAACTCAAGTTGGGCGCATGTGTGTGCGCACCCAAGATCCTTAAAGGAGAATGGAGGAGAAGGGATTGTGGTGTGGCCATCACCCCTGGGGGATGATTTCTTGCTTTGTCTCTCTGGTGAGAGCACACATGCCCTACAGCAAAAAAAAAAACTCTCCAAAAAAATTTTTTAATCACACCCTGTTTCCCACAGTCTGGACTTTGGCCTGCTTTCCGGGAGTGGGCAGCCATCTCTGGCACCTTGCCCTCCACCAGGCAACTCACATGCACCATCTCCTGCAGCCCCTTGGGGTCCAGCTGCCTCTGCATGAGGCTCTCCATCAGCTGCTCCAGGGCACTCAGGGCGTTCGTGTACAGGGTCTGCAACCAGGAGACAGAGTTGGGCACACACAGCCTCCCTCTCTGCAGCGCTCCATGCCAGGGTTGAGAGGTGCAAGGTATCTGATAGTCATCCATTGGCCTCTGCTCAGACCGAGTTCTTTCTCTTATTTATTTATTTATTTTTGGAGAGGTTTTCACTATAGGGCGCGTGCGCTCGCCAGACAGACAGAGACATAGAGACAGAAAGTGAGAAATCACACCCCCCCCCGGGGGACGGTCACGCCTCACTCCTTTCTCCTCCATTCTCCTCCTGGGATCTTGGGCATGCACGCACACGCACCCGGCGTGAGTTTTAAGCCACCGGGTCCAGGACGTGAACCATGGTCAACTACGTGGGAGTCCAGCGACATAGCTATTATGCTAACTGCTGGTTCCCCAGATCGAGTTCTTTACACTCATCTTGTCATGCGAAGCACAAGATAACATTTCCAGAGGAATCCATTTTACAAAAAGAGACTCCGAGACCCTAGTTTCCCTGACTCCTCATCTAGGGGCAGGCATTTGAGGCAGAGAGAATTACCCATCTACAAGAGATGTGTTCTCTCTCTCCCACAGCGTAATTGGAAAACAGCCCCTCTGTCAGGAACTACATTTCCCAAAACCCCTTGCAGGTAAATGAAACCACCTGACTACATTCTAGCCAATGGAAGAAGATAAAATCCCTATGCTTTCTCTTCCCCTCATCAAGAATGGAGATCAATATCTACAGGGACCTTAAGGGCCATGCACTGAAAATGGGGCCTCTGGTGGGGCCTGGGTTCCAGATAACCACATGAAGCAGCTCCACTCCTACTCCTACTGACAATTGAATTTTCCATGAATGAGATACAAACTGCATCTTGTTAAACCACCAAGACCTCAGAGCTCACCTGTTACAGCAGCTAGCATTACCTTACATTTACTCACAGCCCACTACACTTTTCTGCCTCTTACCACTCGAGGGTGGTGCAGGAAATGGACTCTTTGCACTGCCCATGTTCATATAAACTTCCAAGTCCCCACCTGGAAAATGAAGTGACTGAGAAAGACCTACCTTAACAGACTCATTATCCTCCCCAGGGGGTTGGAGAGAAATCACAGCATGAATGCTGATATCCATCAGCTCACTGTTTTCCTCCATAGAGTAGAAAGGCTTCAGCTTGCTGGGGAGAGAGTCAATGACCAGAGGAGAGGGGTGGTCCCTGGGGAGGTGCGCTCCTGCCGTCCCATTGCCAGTCTGGCCACAGGAGCAGGTCACAGTACAAGGGCGAAGCCAGCTTCTCCAGTTGGGTTCAGGCATGTATCCCTCCCCAGGCGCCGTGGCTCTGCCAGCTATACAGCAACTGTGTCTGGGTGCGAAGATTCAGGGGTCCAAGGCCACCCCTGTACTTCTTGTTTCCTGCTTTGAACCTGTGAATCTCCTGCTCAGAAACATTCCGCTGTCCTTCCCCAACCCTGCTGTGAAATCTTCCCTCCCAGGCTGGACCTGGAGCAGGAGTTTTCAAGTCAAAAACCCAGGCCAGCAGCAGTAGCATCACCTCGAAGTCTATTAGTGAATTCTATGGCCCGACTGTGGACCCTCTGAAGCAAAAACTCCAGGGTAGCCCCCTGCCACCAGTATTCTGAGCCCTCGAGTAGCAGCTAGCTGACTGGGCATGCTAGCCCATTCACCTTCCGTCCCCTTCATGGTAGTTCTCACACCTGGGTGCATGTTAGAATCAACCGGAAAGCTTTCGAAAGGCTCCCAAGGACCATGTCCCGACCCCAAGGGTCCTTATTTAATGGCCTGGGTGGAAGCAGGGTACCAGTGTTCTTACAAGTGTCCCACTGGTCCTATTGTGCCTCCGGAGTTGAGAGTCACTATCTGCTCCCCAAAAGCTCCCATACTGTTGAGAGTCACTATCTGCTCCCCAAAAGCTCACACACTTCATCCTGCCAGGAGGCCACAATCTCGCCCCGAATCTAGGCATTCTCCGTAAGTGCTGACAAATGTCAAAGGCCAGCTTCTGCACCAGACGCTTCTGATGTGCCCCGTTGTATAAACTGAACTGCATTTTCTGAGAAGCTCCCCTTTTATCAGGTTTGTTTTTATGGGGGGTGGGGACTGTCACCTGTAAATGCACTCTCCTAGTCAGCTCTAACTCCCGTTCTGTCATCTCTCCAAGTCCCTGGATGCTGGGACTAGGTCTCATGCACCTCTGTGTCCCCTCAGTACTCAGCACCGAGCTGAGTGTGTGCCCAGTTGATGTTTGTGAAATTTATTTTAAATTTGCCAATGTGTTGCCTCTTAAAGCAAATGGTAGCTTTGCTGAGAGCCTAAGTAATCACCTGGTCCTACAAGTGAAGCGTCCTAAAGGTGACTCAGCTCCCTGCCTGCTTCGCCCTTCCACTTCCCGCTTCCCTGTCCCTGGTCCCCGCCAGTGCACTGGCAACTCTGTAAGGAGGGAAGGCGGGCCTCCAGCATCACACCCCTTTAGACTAACCCAATCAGGAAACTGCTCGATTTGGTGTTTGAGCCCGATCCCTCGTAAAGGACGCCCTCAGAGATGCTTGTCACTGTCCCTGCTGCAGTGACTTCTCACTGAGAACATTCCTTTACTGACTGAAGAGCAGCCCACCTGCCCTTCACCTCCCAACCGGAGAAGTGCCCAACTTGAGGCTCTGCTGAGAATTACAGCAGGAGCTGGGGAGCAGACCCCCATCTCCCAGGCTGGCCCGCTGCCCCTGAAGTTGTCATCAGAGTCCCCTGCTACAGAGGCAGGAGAGGGCACTCCAAGGGTGCACCAAAGGATAGCCTCAGACCTCCTCCTTCCCCAGGGCCCTCTGGGGTGCGGGCAGGGGCCCGGCCCACCTGAGGTGCAAGAGGGCGTCCATGGCCATGGTCCGTACAGGAGAAACCAGGCTGTCGGTGGGCTCCGCCTTGAGGATCGCCTGCCCAGCACAAGCAAAGCCGTGAGCTGCTGCCACCCAGACACCCGGGCCAGTGAGGAGTGGTGGCCCCAGCTGACAGTGACGGTGAAGGGGCAGCAGCAGCAGCACTCCCCGGTGTGGGTGCCAGGAAGACCTGAAGCTTCACAAGTGGGCTGACACCCCACACCACTTTCCTTCTTCTCAGACCACTCGGCCTTCGGCATCTTAGGGGAGGCAGCTCAGCACGGGGAAGGACGGGGCTGGCCTTCTCACTCTGGTCCACCACTGGTCACATGTCTGCGGGCACACACTGTTCCTGCCTGGACCCAGGCTGTTCCCTCCTCGGCATAGCAAGGCTCGGTGGCCTGTTTCACGGGGCCGTGTCAGGCCGCTGTGCAATCACACGTGTGTAGACCCCGGCCCAGAGTGGGAGCTGAGTAAATGTCCATTTCCTTCTTGGGGTCTCCTGTCCTGCCCGCATCTTACTTTCCCAAAGACTGCTTCTAGCACTTTTCCAAGGCCAAGACACTGGCGGTGACATGGGGTAGGAAAGTCTGGGGTTGAAGGACATTGGCTGTCCCCCTAGCTCCACCAGCCTTGGCCAGTAAGTCTGCTCCTAGAAGATCACTACCCCTCCCATGGAGAAATCTGACTGCAGCCCTGAACCAACCACCTCTGGGCACCAAGGCCCCAGGCCACGGGGCCTTCTGCCCTAGTTTCCAGACTCTTTCCTGTCTATGAAATCCTTTATGGGATTATCACCCTCAGAACCCTAATACTTCAATCAAGGCCGAACTGACATAGGGAGGGGCTCCAGAGGCTTCTGCAGCCCTCGTCCCTCAGCTGCTCCAGGCTCACCGTAAACCTCTGGACACAAGGGAGCTAGTCAGAGAGGTAGACTCCAAACCACCCAGAGGGACCGGGCGGTGACACAGCAGAAAAACACGATGCTCTTCCCTGCAGAGCAATCCCACATGGGAAGGCACCCAGTTCAAGTCCAAGGACCTCCCTGAGTCTGCCAATCATGCCTGGGCCCTTGGTCTGCAGCTGGCTGGGGCTGGCGGTGAACTGCAGAGTCAGGGCCCTGTTTGGGGTGCTCCCCCTCCCCTCTCTCTCATCTCTCTCTCATAGGAATTTTAAAAAATGAATAAACTTCAATTAAACAAACAAACCCTGGACAGCTCTTACCACGATAATGCCAGTGAGAGTGGTCTTCTGGGCAAATTGAAAGTCCTCCAGGTCCCTGAGGCTTTGGATGGCTTTGGTGATCTGCACGACACTCTTCATGAAGGCCATTTTGAGGCAGATGTCCTGCGCAGAGACCCATGACAAGGGAGAGGAAGGAGCACACGCTCGTGAGTGAGCCCCAAAGGGTCCTCGCTCCTGGACCCTCCTCAGCTCCGAAGAAGGGCTTCAGTGCCAGGGTGTGCTGAGAGATGGCTGGTTTTGCTCTGTCCTTCAACCAGATTGGCAGTTGAGCATCTGCCACATGGTAAGGACCCAGCACATGGCAGGGACACTGGACAGGCATGGCGCCCTCACTGACCAGAGACGCCACCTCCACCAGGCCTCCACACGTCGGTGCCTGAGGGCAGCAGTGCAGCTCAGCAGGCCCCGTCTGTGACTGGGCACTGGGCCCTGAGTGGCCCCAGAGAGGAGGTAAGCTACTGAGATCAAGGTACTCCTGCCCCTGCAGCGTGGGTGAACTTGAGGACGTCATGCCGAGTGCAATGAGCCAGGCACGAAAGAACAAATACTGCCTCGGCCCTGCCTGAGGTCCCTAGAGGAGCCCAGTTCAGAAGCAGGGAGTGGAAACGGGTTGCCAGGGGCAGGGGAGGAGCGAGTGGGGAGTCTGCGTTTAGTAAGCACAGAGTTCCAGTTTTGCAAGACTAAGAGCTCGGGTGGTGGATGGCACTGACGATTACCTGACAGAATGTACTCAAGGCTGCAGGACTGTGCACTTAAAAGGTTTATGATGGGGGAACCAGCAGTTAGCGTAATGGCTATGTCGCTGGACTCCCACGAAGTCGACCGTAGTTCGCGTCCCGGACCTGGTGGCTTAAAACTCACGCCGGGCGCGTGTGCATGCGTGCCCAAGATCCCGAGAGGAGAATGGAGGAGAAGGGATTGTGGCGTGACCATCCCCCCTGGGGGGTGAGTTCTCGCTTTCTGTCTCTATGTCTCTCTCTGTCTGTCAGGCGAGCGCATGCTCCCTATAGCGAAAACCTCTCAAAAAGAAAAAAAAGGTTTATGATGGGTGTCAGAAGGTAGCATGATGGCTGAGGCACTGGCCTCCTACATGGCCAACCATGGTTCGAGTCCCAGACCCAGTGGCTTGAAACTCACACTGGGGGACCAGCAGATACATACTGGTTACATCACTGGGCTCCCACATAGTCAACTGTGTTTCAGGTCCCAGACCCAGTAGCTTAAACCTCATGCAGGGTACATGTGTATGTGTGCCCAAAATCCAGAGAGGAAGATGGAAGAGAAGGGATTGAGGAGTGGCCATCCCCCTGGGGGGTAATTTTCGCTTTCTGTCTTTCTGTTTCTCTCCATCTCTCTGGCAAGCGCACACACCCTATAGCAAAAATCTCTCTCTAAAAAACAGAAAAAAAGAAACTCACTCTTGGTGTGTGTGCATGCATGTGCAGGGTCCCAAGAGGAGAATGGAGGGGAAGGGATTGCAGCATGGCCATTCCCCAGGGAGTGATTTCTCACTTTCTTTTTTCTCTGTCTCTCTCTGTCTCTCTGGCAAGCACATGCGCCCTATAGCAAAAATCTCTCCAAAAAAAAGTTACCGTGGTAAATTTTATGTTATCTGTATCTTACCACAAATAAAAAGCAATTTCTCTTTATTTTCTGTTTTCTCTGCCTTGCCACCTAGGGAAGCTGCCAGTCCCTCTGCATCTCGTTAAAGGCAACTCCACTTGTTGTCCCTTAAGGAAGGGCCTGGGTCAGATGGTGGTCCTGAGGCCAGGGTGGAGGGAGTGGGACAGGCTGGGGAGAGATGGGACTCCCCCGTACTCTAGGGGACTCGCACTCGCCCACCTAGCACTCCCCTGTCTGACACCAAAGCAAGAGAACATCCCAGGTTCGGGCCACGGTAGGACTGTCAGCCATCCCCTGGGGCCAGGTGGGGGAATGGAGGCACTCAGATGAGGGTGGCGGTGACTCTCCACCAGGCTCAAGGAAGCCATGGGGCAGGCTACCTGGCAGCTGCTGGAGTAGTGGTGAATGACCTTGGAGGTGATGGTGCTGTCCACGTGGGTGAAGAGCATCTGGGGGTGGCAGTATGAGGCCACACAGCTGTACATCACCATGAGGGCGCTCTTCACAGCCTCCCGCCTCCAGGGGTGGTCCTTCTGCCAGGCCAGGGAGAAGAGCAGAGCAGCTGGGGGGAGCCAGGGCTGTCCAGGCCACGAGGGGGACAGTCTTGGCTCACATGACCACTGAGTCGCCTGAAGGTGCTTCAAGAGACTGTTTCCAGGTAGTGAAACACCTCTCCCCACCCAGCACGCAGCATGCAGAGATAGCCCGGGCTCCTCAGGAAGCTTCAGCTTGCCGGCAGATGCCGAGACCATCAATTCTGAGCAGAGTCCGTCTGGACACTCAGTGGGGCCGTTTGCACGCTCTACCACCACGCCCCTGGAACCTGAAGCAGGTTAGGAGGTCCTACAGCTGGGGCTCTGGTGGGAACCACCCCAGCTCCTGCACTCATGCCTTCTGTACAATCTCCGGGTGAGAGGAGCTGTTGGAGTTTGGGTGGGGAACAGGCTGCCAGGCTGCCAGGCCACGTGTGGAAATCTACCTCAGGCCTGGCATTGCAGCCTAGCTGGTGCAGAAGGCCAAACAACCAGCCCCCAGGGCGAGCGTCCCAGGTCAAGACCAAAGGAGGCCCAGACCACCTGGGGGACCATCCCCTGCGGCTGGCGGGGCGGCCTCCAGACAATGGGGTCATGGGCAATCTGGCCCAAATTCCGGTCCTGCCGCGGCCTAGCCATGCGCCTCCCCACAAGCTTCTCCTTCCCCATACCGCAGTGGGGTCATACCCATACCCTGCTCTGCCAGCCAACTGAGGCAGAGCTCCCCACCCGTGGGAAACACCCACTGAGGGCTTCCTGGACAGCCTCTTCAGATCCTGGGGGCCTGGGTGCAGCCTGGGGCCCCCACTGCTGGTCCGAGGAACCCCCCGAGAAGACCAAGGGCCCAGGGCCCCTCGACAGCATCCGGGTCCTGGAAAGGCCCTCCCTGGATTCTCCATGTGCCCTAACAGCAACAGCCCTGCTACAGGGAGCCTCCGGCCTGAGCTCTTTGGTGACGGAGACTCCAAGGAGGAGTTTCCTGCAGAGGCCTAATAGGCCCCAAGCACTGCACTGAGGCCCTGCAGACCCGGGATGGAGCCAGGCTGCCTTACCCGCCAAGCACCGAATTGCCAAGACTGCTCCGACTCCTGGATCCGCTCCTCGAAGTCCTGGAGCACGTTCAGCACCGTGTTCACCTGGCCCCGGGCACACAGGCCGACACACAGAATCACGCCCTGCAGGGAGGGTCAGCCAGCCGAGTGAGGGCAGGGCACAGGGAGAACACACACACACACACACACACACACACACACACACACATGTACACACACATGCATACACACACATTTACTCACACACATACACACACACATACACACATGAATACATGTCCCCGGAGGGTATGGTGGTGGGAAGGGGCGGCAGGCCTCACCTCCCGGTCAAAGTTGTTGCTGTAGTCCGTCTTGTACAAAAGCTCCAGCAGCAGCACCTCCACCTTGTCGGCCTCCAGGCCCATGGCCAAGGTGAAGCCCAAGGCCCGGTACAGAAAGCCCTGGAGAAGCAGGAGCAGGGAAGGCTCAGGCCACCTTTCTCCCACCCTCCAGGGGGCGCTGTCACAGAACAATTACTACATACTCCCTCAGATGTAAAGATGGGCAGTGATCATCTGTGTGTTTTTAGACATGAATGTTCAGCTCATTACAGGGTAGGGCTGTATAAGAGGAGGCACAGCTTACATTTTATTAGTGGGGCCAAACTTCCCTCCTGTGGAAGTTGAGCTGGTCTATGTGCACTCCCGCCAACAAGTCTAAGAGCACTGACGGTCCCACGTACTCTCTGACGCAGGGTATTAGGACAGGTGGGACATTCTCGCTCTGATGTGTTTGTGTGTGGGTTTTTAAAAAAATTATTTATTTGTTACTATTATTTATTTTTTTAATTTGACCAAAGAGACAGAGTAAGAGAAGACGGAAGTGAGAAAGCAAGCCACCAGGTCCAGGACTTGAACCACAGTCAGCCATGTGGGAGTCCAACACCTTAACCACCACACCACCTGCTGGCCTGAGTCTGATGTGTTTTTTAGTGATGTTGGTCATCTTCCGTATTCTCATGATCCAATTCTTTAACTTTCTAGCTATACTCCTTTTCTCCTTTGTGTGTGTGTGTGTGTGTGTGTGTGTGTGTGTGTGTGTGTGTGGCTTATTTCTACCTCTTTACTTGCAAGAATTTTGTTTGTATATTTGGAAACAACACGAGGACAGTCATATGCTGTCACGTTTAACCCTCATAGAACGGCTCTGTAAGGTAGACACTGTGACCGTACTGAGAGATGAGAAGCAAGCAGGATGCAGCAGAAACAGGATTTAAAATTGACCGCGGACTGGACCACGTCCTCCATACTGGTGTATCATCCGTGGGCTACACTCGGGGCGGTGGCCCCCAGGATCTCCTTTTCCTTTTGACTTTATTCATGGTGATTTCATCATACAGCACAGTTTAGTATTCCTAAAGTTTCCCTCTTGTCCTTTGTCTTTCTCAGTTTCTTTTCACACATATGAAGTCTTATGCCATACGAAGTTTATCAAAAAAACACTCGTCAATATAGTCTTCTTATTGTTCCACAGTTTTATTTTATTTTATTTTTGAGAGGTTTTTTCACTATAGGGCATGTGCACTCCCCAGACAGAGAGAGACATAGAGACAGAAAGCGAGAAATCACCCCCCAGGGGGGATGGCCACGCTGCAATCCCTTCTCCTCCATTCTCCTCTCGGGATCTTGGGCATGCACACACATGCGCCTGGTGTGAGTTCTAAGCCACCAGGTCCGGGACGCGAACCGCAGTTGACTGCATGGGAATCCAGTGACATAGCCAATTACGCTAACTGCTGGTTCCCGATTTTATTTTATTTTGTACACTTAAAGCTTTTTCTTTTCAGGAAGAACAAATCCTTCCTGAAGTGCCTCTTTTTCAGTATGTTCTTAGCTATTCTCTTTCATTTTCTCATTTTGAGGAACTTGGAAATAATCTTGTCAAATTCCATAAAACTGTCAAATTTCCACACTCACACTCCTCTAAGGAAGTTGGTTGGGAGTAAATTGCAGTGCAGATTAATTTGAGAAAAGCAGACACCTTCACAGCAGTGAGACTTTCTATCCCAAGACGCAAGACTGTGTCTGTTTTTGTTTTTGTTTTTTTCAGGTTTTCTTTTCATTTCCCCCGCTCTCCCTTGTAATTTTGTGTTCCTCCACGTTGTTTGCACACATTCCACACATTCGATATTTACTTGCCCATATATTTTCCATGGTGTTGCTACCTCGGGTTTTTTGTTTCTTCGTTTTTGTCCATTTGTTTGTTTAGTTTGCTATAGGTGTGTGCTCTCGACAGAGAAAGAGAGTAAAAATGAGAACTTATCGCCTGGGGAATGGCCTCGACACAATCCCTTCTCCTTCATTCTCCTCTTGGGATCTGGGGCATGGACGCACACACGCCTGGTGTGTTTTTCCAGCTGCCAGGTCCTGGGACCACTCGGTCAGCCATGCAGGATCCAGATCCTTAATCTGCACTCCACCTACTGACCCTCTGTGGCTCCTTTGAAGGAGATCTTTTTCTCAATTCAGTTTATTGGTCGTCTTATTTGTATATAGAAAAGATAACAACTCAGGGAAGGGCTGGCTTTGTCTACTGGAGTTTTAGGCCTGGAGGCTACCAGAAGCCAGCTTGTCCCTACCTGAGGATGCCAGCCCACGGTAAAGAGACAGCGAGGGTCCTGATGACATTCCTATGCTGCTGTATCTAATCATGCCTTTGAAAGATATCTGAGCCAGTAAAATTCAGAATAAAATGTATTTATTTACTTATTTATTTATTTATCTTGCTTAAGATGGATGAGTTGTTGTAATCTGGTTTAATCAACTCAGTTGCTTACTAGTCTATATTCAGCTCTCTTACAAATGGCCTTAAGGGGGATCAGCAGGTGGTGTGGTAGTTAAGGCACTGGATACTCCCATATGGCCAACAACAGTTCAAGTCCCAGACCTGGTGGCTTGCTTTCTCACTTTCCGTCTCTCTCTCTCTCTCTGGCCAAATTTAAAAAATAAAATGAATGAATAAACAATTTTTTTTAAATGGCCTTAAGTTGACATCTGATAAGACCTCATACCTACAAATCAATAGCATATAACTGGGACCAGCAGTTGGCGTAATGGCTGTGTCACTCCCATGTAGTCTAATGTGGTTTGAGTCCTGGACCTAGCGGCTTAAACTCACACCGGGCACGTGTGCGTGCGTGCCCAAGATCCCAAGAGGAGAATGGAGGAGAAAGGATTGTGGCATGGCCATCCGCCCCAGGGGATGATTTCTTGCTTTCTATCTCTCTGTCTCTCTTTGTCTTTCTAGCAAGTGCACACACCCTATAGCAAAAACCTCTCCAAAAAAAGCATATAAATAATAGACAATTTCTGAAAAATACAGTCTTTCATTATTTTGCATACTCAACTACAAAGGGTGTATGTGTGAATAAGCACAATCCCTGGTTGACACCTGTAAAACTTACCATTTAAAGTGTACGAGTCCAACGGCATATTCAGAGGCATGTAACCGCCATCATGGTCTAGGCTTAGAACATTCTCAGCACTTCATAAACAAACTGCAGCCTTATTGCAGTCACTCCACACTTCGCCCACCCCCTGGAAACCACCTAGCAGCTTTCTGTCTCTGTGGATTTGTCTCTTCTGGATGGTTCATGTAAACAGAATTGTACACTACATGGACCCTCGTGTTCTCCTGCATTGACTTTCTGTAGCATAGTGTTTTCAAGGTATATTCAGGTTCTGGCACATGCTAGTACTTTGTTCCTTTTCATGGTTGCATAATATTCCATTGCATGAATATGCCACATTTGTTTATCCATTCATCATTGGTGAATAAGTTGTTTCCACTGTTTTGGCTACTATGAACAACACTGCTATGATTATAAATACACGTTTTTATGTAGACATGTGTTTTCATTTCTCCTGGGTATATATAACTAGAAATAGGATTCCTAGGTCATATGGTAACTGTATATTGAACATTTTGAAGGAATGCTGAACTGGTTTCCCAAGTAGCTGCACCGTTTTACATCACCTCCAACAATATACGAGGTTGCCAATTTCTCCGCACCCTTGTCAACACTTGTTATTATCTGTCATTTTTATGACAAGCATCCCAATGAGTGTCTCACTGTGGTTTTGATTTGCATGTCCTTAACGGTAATAACCTTGGACTTTTTTTTCATCTAGTTACTGACAATTTGTGCATCTTCTTTGAGGGAATGTTAATTAGCTCCTTTGCCCATGTTTTAATCAGCTTATTCATCTTTGTATTAATTAGTTGTTAAAACATATGATCATGGAAACAGCAGATAGCTTAAGTTTACACCGCTGGAATCCCATGTAACTGACCGCAGTCCCGGATCCGGCAGCTTAAAACTCATGCCAGGTACGTGTACATGCGTGCCCAAGATCCCAAGAGGAAAATGGAGGAGAAGGGATTGAGGCATGGCCATTCTCCCTGGGAGGGTGATTTCTTGCTTTCTGTCTCTCTGATGTGTTTGTGCATGTTTTTTTTAAATTATTTATTTGTTACTATTATTTATTTTTTTAAATTTGATCAAAGAGACAGAGTGAGAGAAGAGGGAAGTGAAAAACCAAGCTGCCAGGTCCAGGACTCGAACCACAGTCAGCCATGTGCGAGTCCAACACCTTGCCCTAGAGCAAAAATCACTCAAAAAAAAAAAGAGAAGATATACATACTCATATATGTACACCCTATAAATCCCTTATCAGATACATGATTTGAACATTTTTCTCCCACTCATGGGTTGTTTTTTCACATTCTTGATAGTATTATTTTTCTTCCCTAGAGGTCTTAATTTTCATAATGTCCAATTTATCTATTTTTCTTTCATCTCTTGTGGATTTTGGATTTAGCTTAGGAAACTTTGCCTAACCCAAGATCATAAAATTTTATCCCTGTGTTTTCTCCTATGAAGAAAACTCCTATGAGTTTTATAGTTCATATTTTCTTATATAGTTCTATGACCCATTTCTATTTGACTTTTGGGTATAGTGTGAGGAAGGGGTTCAATTTCATTCTCTTACATATGAATATTCAATTGTCCAAGTACCTCTTATTGAAAACTATTCTTTTCTCACTGAAGTATCTTGGCATCTATGTTGTAAATCAATTGACCATAAATGTGAGGATTTGTTCCTAGATTCTCAGTTTTATTTCATCACTCTGTATGTCTATTCTTATGCCAGAACCACACTATCTTGTTTACTGCAGTGGTGTACCAAGTCTTGAAATTGGAAAATTTGAGTCTCTTCAACTTTTTTAAAAATTATAATTGTGTTGGCTATTCTAGGACCCTTGCATTTGCATATGAATTTAAGACTCAGCTTATCAATCTCTGAATTAAAAAACAAAAACAAAAAACAGATTTAGTTGGCATTATGATAGGGGTCATATTAAATCTATAGGGATCATATTAAATCTCAACTACATCATC